ATGTGTTTATTAATAGCATGCTTTGTGGACTGCCATGCTTTCAGGAATTCTCGCCGACGAGTACACATACCGGCCACTACAGACTGACCCAACACCGCAACTAGGCAACAAAATCCTCTACATGCTACAAAGACTTAAACAAACAGGACAGATCAACAAAACAGACTTCTTAAAAATGAAACCCGAAGGAACCAACATACCCTGATTCTACGGCCTCCCCAAAGTGCACAAGCCAGAAGTCCCCCTCAGACCCATAGTCTCCTTACCAGGCACTCCATTGCACAGATTAGCCAAAGAACTAAAAAGACTCAGGCACCTAGTCAACAATTCACCCCACTCTATCCACTCAGCCCAAGAATTCCTTAACTCCATCAAAGACATAAAGATAGAGGATGAAGAGTCCATGATATCGTTTGATCTCACTGCCCTATTCACATCAATAGACATACCACTAGCAAGGGAAACAATGACAACACTACTTGAACAAGAACACGACCCCAGTGAAACCATCTCCGAGGACAACATGTTCAAACTATTGGACCTATGCCTGACCACCCACTTCACCTTCAACGGCCAAATATATGTGCAAATCAACGGGACACCCATGGGATCACCTATCTCTGGACTCATAGCAGAAGCAGTGATGCAAAGACTGGCAAGGACTGCCCTTCCGCAAATCCAACCTAAACTGTGGATACGCTACATAGACGACACCTTTGTCATCATTAAACGGACCAAATTAGAAGAGACACACAAACTTATAAACAACACCCTCACTGGAATAAGATTCACCAGAGAGGAGGAGAAGAACAAACAGCTCCCATTCCTGGATGTCATGGTAGAGCACAAGACAAATGGGGAACTGCAAAAGAAAGTACACCGAAAAGCCACACACACAGACCAGGTACTGAACTTCAATAGTAACCATCCCAGCATACACAAACGAAGCTGCGTGTGAACACAATTTAAAAGGGCAACAACACACTGCAGCAACACGGAACTATGCCAAGATGAAGAAGAATACCTCTTCCAAGTGTTCAAGGATAATGGATATCCAAAGAACTGGGTCAGAAGATGCCTACAAGAACAGCATCAGAAAGATTCTACACGCCCCGACACACTCATCACACTACCCTACATCAGGAACACGTCGGAACTCACCACAAGACTCCTATGACCGCTCGGCATCATAGTGGCACACAAGCCCACGTCAACCCTATGACAACTGCTCACCCGAACTAAAGACTCACTCCCCGCCATGGACAGGACCAATGTCATCTACAAAATCCCCTGCAGAGATTGCGAGAAACACTACATCGGACAAACAGGAAGGAAACTAACAATAAGAGTAAACGAACACCAACTGGCTGCAAAAAGGCACGACCAATACTCACTCGTCTCAATCCACATGGACAAGGAGAACCACAACTTCGACTGGGACAACACCAAGATCCTGGGACAGGTTAGGCAGAGACAAGCACGAGAATTCCTGGAAGCATGGCACTCCACGAAGCATGCTATTAATAAACACATTGAACTCGACCCCATATACATTCCACTACGAAGGAAAACCGGAAGTGAGGCAATCCATCTCAACGGACCCCAGAGTTTAAAAACCAGACGGAAAAACACACCGACGCTTCATCGGAGGTTGCACTGAGGATGTTACCAAGCATGGTAACAAAACGTCCGCAAAACAACAAACCAGCTCAGCGAGCCAATCAACCTCAAAAAGTAAGATAGATTATGAGACTAAACCAGCTCAGAACATAAAGACAGGTAGCAAAAGTTTTTATAATTATATAAAACGAAAAAGAGTGGCTAAGGTAAACATTGGTCCTTTAGAGGATGAGAAGGGGGATTTAATAACGGGAAATGAGGAAATAGCTGAGGCATTGAACAGATACATTGTGTCAGTCTTCACAGTGGAGGACACACATAAGTTGCTAGTAATTGAGACAGAGACAAAGGTAGGTGAGGACTTAAACATGATCTTTATCACAAAAGAGGTAGTTTTGGGCAAGCTAATGGAGCTAAAGATAGACAAGTCTCCTGGCCCTGATAGAATGCATCCCAGGGTACTAAAACAGATGGCAGAAGTAATATCAAATGCACTCATGGTCATTTTCCAAAATTCTCTGGATTCTGGGGCAGTTCCAACAGATTGGAAAACAGCGAATGTGACATCATTGTTCAGAAAAGGAGGTAGGCAAAAGGTGGGGAATTGTACGCTGGTTTGCTTAACTTCTGTAGTGGGGATAATGCTTGACTCAATTATCAAGGAAGAAATTGCAGCACATCTAGATAGAAATTGCCACATTGGCTGGATGCAGCATGGGTTCATGAAAGGCAGGTCATGCTTGACTAATTTGCTGGAATTCTATGAAGACATTACAAGCGCAGTGGACAACAGGGACCCAGTAGATGTGGTGTATCTGGATTTCCAGAAGGCATTTGACAAGGTGCCGCACAAAAGGCTGCTGTGTAAGATAAAGATGCACAGCATTACAGGCAATGTATTAGCCTGGATCGAGGATTGGTTAACTAACAGGAAACAAAGAGTGGGGATAAATGAATGTTTTTCTGGTTGGCGAACAGTGACTAGTGGTGTTCCTCAGGGATCAGAATGTTGGGGTTGCAATTATTTATAATTTACATAGGTGATTTGGAGTTGGGGACCACATGTAGTGTGTCAAAGTTTAGTGGATGACACTAAGGTGAGTGGTAGAGCAAAGTGTGCAGAGGATTCGGGATATAGATAGTTTAAGTGAGTGGGCGAAGGTCTGGCAGATGGAATTCAATGTTGATAAATGTGAAGTCATCCATTTTGGTAGGAATAACAGTAAAAAGGGACCATTATTTGAACAGTAAAAAATTGCGGCGTGCACCTGTGCAGAGGGACCTGGGCTTCCTTGTGCAGGAATTGCAGAAGGTTGGTTTGCAGGTACAACAGGTAATTAAGAAGGCAAATGGAATTTTGTCCTTCATTTCTAGAGGGATTGAGTTTAAAAGCAGGGAGGTTATGAAGGAGGGTCCCGACCTAAAACGACAACTTTCTTGCTCCTGATGCTGCCTGGCCTGCTGTGTTCCTCCAGCTCCACGTTGTGTTGTCTCTGACTCCAGCATCTGCACTTCTTGCTATCTCTGAGGTTATGTTGCACCTATATAGGGTGCTGGTGAGGTCACACCTGGAGTACTGTGTGCAGTTTTGGTCTCCTTACGAGAAAAAGGATGTACTGGCACTGGAGGGGGTGCAAAGGAGATTCACTAGGTTGATTCCAGAGTTGACAGTGTTGGCTTATGAGGAGAGGCTGAATAGGCTGGGATTATATTCATTGGAATTTAGAGGAATGAGGTGGGATCTTACAGAAACAAATAAAATTATGAAGGGAGTAGACAAGATAGAAGCAGGGAGTTGTTTCCACTGGTGGGTGAAACCAAAACAAGAAGGCATAGCCTCAAAATTAGGGACTCCAGATTTAGGACTGAATTGAGGAGGAACTTCTTCACCCAAAGGGTTGTGAATCTGTGGAATTCCCTGCCCAGTGAAGTAGTTGAGGCTTCCTCTTTGAATGTTTTTAAAGCTAAGATAGATAATTTTTTGAATAGTAAAGGAATTAAAGGTTATGGTGAGAGGGTGGGTAAATGGAACTGAGGCCATGAAAAGATCAACCATGATCTTATTGAATGATGGAGCAGGCTTGAAGGGCCAAAATCCTGCTCTTTGTGGCATGAAGCAAGTGACAGTCAAGGGGTGTTTTTATGACAGGACACCTGTGTCCAGTAGGGATCAACAGGGATCAACAGTAAACAATTTAGACTTGAAAATAAGAGCAAGTTCATAAATAATACAAAAACTGATGGGGCAGTAAACAGTGAGGAGGAAAGCCTTCGTTTATAGGACGATATAGATGGCCTAATTAGATGGGCTGCAGTGACAATTGGACTTCAATCCTGATAAGTGAGAGATGGTGCACATGGGCAGGACAAACAAGCCAAGGAAATTCATAGACTGTAGAACTCCGGGAAGCTGAGGATCAGACGGACCTTGACGTGCATGTCCACCAGTCCCTTGACTTATCAGGACAGGTGGATAAAGTGGTTAAGACACATGGGATACTTGCCCTTATTGGCCAAGGCTGAGAGTTTAGGAGCAGGAAGGTTATTCTGGAACTATAAAGAAAGTTGGTTGAGCCATAGCTAGAAATCCACATAAGAGGAATGTGATTGCTCTGAAGAGCTTGCAGAGGGGATTTACTGGCAGGTGTGAATCTGGAACTCACTGCCTGTAAGGCTGAAAGAGGCAGAAACCCTCAACATTTTAGAAGTATTAGAATACACGTGGTATAACGATGCCATCACTGCACACGGATCGCAGTGACTCATTAGCTCATGTACATATGCTTCCTGCAGCCTGCCCTGTTGCAGCCTGTTGATGTCACCGGTTCTATCTGGAAAAATGTGGTGGCCATTTTGATGTTATTGGTAGTCACTCCAATCTTTTACTTGTATACATACCACAATGGCCAGTGCTGTCTTGTTCCTCCCAAGAATCAAATAAAGATTCAAAGAAATACCTGCCCAAGCTACTGTGATTTCCAAGAAAGCCAAAACAGGTAGGAACTTTGCAGGTTCTAGTTTCCTCTGAAAATTGAACTCTGCCTGAAGTTAGCAGGTTAAAAAATTCTGACCCAAGGAATTTCAGGTCCTCGGCTTGCATTAAAAAAAACGAATCTGGCTTTTACTTCACATTCAAAAAGAATGACATAACGCCGTAGAATTGTGTTCTATTCTGATACAAGTTGTTAGAAGTAAGTAGGTATAGGTATTTAAATAAGAATTCTTCAGGTTGTAAAATGCATGACATTGTAAATGCATTCACGTAAATTTCTTTTGATCAGCGCTGCTAGAGAAATAATAAATAAGAAATATTCATTGACATGTTTATGATGGGGTACACATCATAACCAAAAGAATTCTCACATTTAATTAGAGTATACCTGATGAAAACTGGGCTATGGTCTGTTAAGGTGATGAGCAACTTCAAGGCATATAGTGGCACTGGATCAGGTTCCATCAAAATCTGGTCATATCTGAAATTTTTAAAAAAGTCATAAGCATCTAGGAAATCAGCACATTCATCCTTCTATCCTTCCTCTTTGCTGAAATATAGCTGCTTTTAAAAAATTGAATGGACAGAAATCCCTCCTCGGAGGCAAAGTGTAAATTACAGATTGCTGTATTTCTTACAGACAATGAGTCCGTGGTCTAATATATTCCTGTAAATAAGTTTGTTATTGTATTTTGAAGGACAAAGCAATCCCAATCATGCTACTGGTCTTGAATGCTGGCTGGGACATGGAAGGGGTCTAAAACTGGTTTCCTATTCATAATTAAAGCCAATACTTCTCCATAGAAGCAAAGAAATTGTCCATGAGGATAATGTGTCAGCCTGATGATACAAACAGGCCTCCTGAACGTGCTGTTTTCATACGTACTAGAGTTCAAGGGTACCACTTGCAACACTGGATGCTGGGAGCTTGTAGGGTCCAATTATGTTGGTACACTTTTTCCACTATTTTCTCTGCTTCTATTTGAAATGGCCATGGGAGTAGGATGGGGTCATGGGTTGGCATGAGTTGGCACTGATGGAACATGAGAAGTGAGTAGAGGGATGGAAATGTGAAAGATGAGAGCTAGGGGACCTAATATTTAACAAAACAACTTAGGTTAAGTCCCAGAGAACAAAAGAGGGCCTCTTAACCAGACCAAGTTGGCACTGTTATCCGTGGCCATTTCAGATCCATGTCGATAAGTAAGCGATCTGACTACATTCTATACCCGCTCTCCTGAAGAAAAGATCCTACTATTCAGGTGAATTGCTTTTGAGGTGGGAGCAGTGAGCTGAGAAATATTCCTACTTCCACTAAACAAATCAGGAACATCCCAGACTTCGGTTTTCTAACTTAGAGACTAAAATGGCGCCAGTGCAGCCAAATCTGTTGAGATTCATTTTGGCTTGAGGAGTATAATTTTGATCTATTGGTCCAATCATGTCATGATCACAACATTTCCTTACACAGTGATTTCCCAATTCATGATGGAGGAGTTGCACAGCCCATCAACAAGTTAAAAACTGCACCTCCCACTGTTTTCATTCCAACCAGTCTGATAAAACAAATTTCTCGATAATAAATGCCAGTAAACCAACACAACAGAAAGATTATCAGTATATACATATATCCCACTAAAAAGACAGCTGAAGTGAGTTAATAATATTCTTTTGTTGAGAAAAAGAATATTTGAAACAAAAAGCACTGCTTTTAAGCTGTTCTCTTCACTGTTTTAAAGCAAAAGGCATAGGAATTTGAAACTTCCATTTCATAGTTTGAGTCTTCTATGATTCTAAAATACAGCATTTGAAGGTAACAGTTTTTTTTTAATAACTTCAACCTATGGACATTTCACATAATTAGACAAGATAAATTCCAAAATGATGTATTAACTTACTGAGGGAGCAGTGATTCCTGGATGAGGGTCAGTAATTTGCTGTTTGAAGTAAGATTCTCCCCTTTCTCTCCTAACACAGCCTCATGGTTTGCCACAAGAGATGTGGTTTCTGACAGTAACCGCAGGCTGAAGATCCGCCACTCCACTTAAAAGACATGCATAAACAGGAAGGGGTTAACATAGTTCCAGAAAAAAGAAAAACAAAAGGCAGAATTGATGAAAATTTTAATCACTATTGTGCTTCTTCTTTTCTGGCAAATGCTTACCATTCTGACTAAGCACCAGGGAAACCAAGGGTGGAAGAATGCAGTCAACAATCTGAAAACCAGAAATAAGCAAAGATTAAAGGAAAATGTGGTGCTTTAGACAATTTTAACTCAAAAGCAGCACTTACTAAAATGCAGTATATTACACACATTTGTATTTTCTTTGATGTATCCTTTTTGGTCATTTTTTTTGCCACCATTTGTTCTTCTCCTTGAAGGTGCTGCCTCTTGCAGTGATGTGATTTCACAAAAACATGGCACTCTCATCCAGGTGGTCACGCTTACAGCCTACGTAATGAGCATCAGAAGTGACTGTCTGGGAAAAGCGCATCATACCTGAGCACAGTCCTGATTTCCTCGGATAGTCTCACTCTCATTTTCAACTGGATTACGATTAGAAATGGATGACATTCCAACATGCCGACTGGGCAGAAGACTGAGTGTTATAACTCAAACACCTGTTCTAGGTACATCCCAATTTCTGTTACCATCAATTTTGATGGAGCATTAATTTTACACATGGATGACATGATTTAAAGCTATCTTCTATTTTCTCATTTGGAGCACTGAAGTACTTCCAAGCAGACAAAAGTGCCATGCTGCCAACACGGCTGCAAATTCTTATCATGCTATTTTATATGTACTTTCTTTGTTCTTGTCAATTTTCCGTCAGCAAGATCAACACCAAATAAAGTACTAGAATAGCTCAGGTTCACAGGAAAGTTTCATAACCTTGAGAGCATTGATCAGCTTTATATTATGATTTAATCTGTAAAACATGTTGCAAATACAATAATTAGCATAAACAACATTGTTGACTTGATGAAGAAAAGGGATAGGGATTTGTCTGTATACAGTGCTGCACAGAAACATTTTAGCAATTAGTTTCTCAGCTTATGCTGTCAGATGGGCCATTTGGTATAGCAGAGGCTGACACAGCAGAAAGGATAACCTTCAACCTTTCCCTCCTGAAGTTCCTACCAGTAATTGTGCTTCTCTGTTTTCCCATCCCTTTCTCCTTCTTATTTCACTCCCATCTACAGTATATGATTCTTCACTACCTTTTTGTGTCTGATCCCATCAGTCTACATGCCAGTGACTGATAAATACTGTGTTATCAAAACTCTTTGATCAATAGGAACATTTTGAAATTGGTGCTATTTATCAGAGATGCCCAATCCGTTCTGTGGCTCTCAGACTACACCAGTAGGGGAGAGAGGTTCATCTAACCAAATCACTGTCTGGGAACTGACAGAATCCAAGAGGGAGAATGGATTTTGATCATATGGTGAAGGAAGAATTGAGCTGGATCAAAAGTTAATGCAATTGGATGGGTTCTATTCATTTAGGTACACAAGGGCACAGTTTATATACTTAAATAAAAGCCAATGAAGCTATCTGAAGCCAAATGTACCCCATGTAGGATAAATGAGCTTTCTACTGCCCTATCAACTATTTTCATTCTCTTTGTTTAAAACACTGAATATAAAATCTGTTCAATGCAGTATAAAAGATAAATATTTCCAAGTATGTTGATTAATGAAACATAATCCCCAAAACATTCAAAGATAGCAAGAGCTGCAGATGCTGGAGTTAGAGATAACACCCTTCTTCAGAAGGCTCCCGACCTGAAACGTCAACTTTCCTGCTCCTCTGATGCAGCCTGGGCTGCTGTGTTCCTCCAGCTCCAAGCTGTTTTACCCCAAAACATTCAACATAGTTTATATCTTTTGAATAATTGCCAGCCTCTCTTATTTATTAAAAACTCAACAAACTGATTGGGACTTTTCTCATCAACAACTTGTATTCTGTAGAGTCTTTAACACCTCAAAACATACCTGATGGCTTACAGGAATGTAATTAGATCAACATTTACACTTAGCCAAAGACAGAAACATTTGGAGAAATCACTATTCACGTGGTCCAAACATCAGGTTTAAGGAGGCAGGGAGGGGTGAGACTTTCAAGGCACTTCAATGAGAATGAGAATTTTAAACGTGCAGCAATGGGTAGACAAGACTTGATCCATGTGAGATTAGGCACAGCAGAGAGTTGAAGGGTGTTAGATAGAATTACGGAATCCCTACGGTGTAGAAGTAGGGCATTCAGCCATTAGGTCCACTCCAACCCTCCAAACAGCATCCCACCCAGAGCCACCCCCTATTTCAATGTTGTGCCATTAGTGTGGACATTGCAGAGGCCTAGCAACAGTGAGCACTTCTGCCACAACTGCTATGTATGAACCGGGCACCAAAGAGGACCCTTCTTCAGAACCTTCATTTCTGAAGAAGGGTCCCGACCAGAAACGTCAACTTTCCTGTTCCTCTGATGCTGCCTGGCCTGTTGTGCTCCTCCAGCTCCACACTGTGTTATCTCTGACTCTAGCATCGGCAGTTCTTACCATCTCGAAGGGTAACTGGTACCCCGTTTCACCAACAGAGATCTGGAGGAGTTGGAGGATGGGATGGTGGAAAGGAGGTGCCTCACAAACGTTCCCAACCTCTTGCCTTTGCTGAGGTACTGTGCTGCAAAACACTAGGATACCATATGCTGAACGAAGATGTAAAAGCCTCCTAACATCATCATCATGCCATGTTACTGCCCTGTCTCACTGACTCATGCTTTTTCCTGAATGGTAAATACAGCCTGCAAAGTGTCAATACTTTAAGGTGAGATCAGTTGAAGATACCACATATGCAATCATATGTATAATAACACATTTAGTTAGAAGCAGAAAATTTGAAGGATTGTCAAAGTAACTAGGTCCATATGTACTGTGGATTGATCAAGGACTGTTTGTCTTATAACAAACAGAAAGGAACAAAAGGAAGTCCAAACTCAGCTCATTCCCCCTCAAAATGAGTTTTAATTAGGTTCAATCTAGCCTCTTGCACTTGATGTGTACAGCTCTCGTGGTCCCTTGAATGTTCCACAATCTCAGAGGAGTGCTCAAGATCCCTCATTCCATCTGCATCCAGGACATGTCCTCTTTGATGGCTCCAATTATGAAAGGTACAGCATGCCAAAGTGATGCTGCACACCAATTCTGGTGTTACAGCAGTGCTAGAATTGAAACCTCATCTTAAGGAGGGCTATGGTTTGTTCCTCTTTGGAGAATCCCATTAGTGAACTGCTTGGCTACGCTCATCATGTGGAAGTGCCATAAACATTTGTATTCTAGAGAAAATGGCATCTGTCACTTCACAGGTGTGTTTGTGGAGCAAGGTTTGGTAGATGCCATACTGATCCCTAGCCACTGCATAAAAATTCAGGCGTAACCTTGATCGCTACCAGGATGAGGTGGCGACACATTCCTTCTGAGCATAAGTCCTGCTCCAGCAAATGACACCATTCAGTGGCTTGGGACATCCTTAGTCTCTGCCTGCACTGGTTCTCTGACATTGGTAGTTAATGAGAGAAGCCGGTAGATTTGGGGTCTGGTCATTCTCCTCCACCTCAACTTCTCCCTATGGATGCTTTGCAGCAGCCACTGGAGATTCCTGTTATTGCTGGACTTTGGTAACAATGTTGTAAGTGATGTATTTTTCAATGCTGTCATCTCATGGCTAGCAATTTAACCTTTTGTGATCCCTCATACCCACCATGATGAAGCAATAAATTTCACCCTCACGTAGCGTGGCATGCAGGCTTAACTTTTGCAAGGAGGCCAATGAAATGCATGTGTGTCCATGTGTGAAAGCAACCTGGCAGAAGCATGCAAGGCATAAATATCCTTGAGCCCCATAGTGAAGTCCTGAAGGACTGAAATGGTCATGATGACGTGGTAAGGCTGGTGGTTTGGCAATACCAATTAAGAGTGGAAGAGGACAGGGTTCATGCAGCATGCAGGGAAATGGAAGTGAAGCTGCAGCTGTATAAGGCCTGGAGATACAAGCACTGAGCTGTGGTGCCAGGCAGCCTCACTGATTTTCATGTCAGGAATTGGTGCATACAGTTTCTCAGTGAAGAAGGGGAGAATTGGGAGCTGCATGAGAGATGAGGCAAGCTTAGCTATTAATTCGATGCAAATGTATGGAAACAAGATAGTCACCACTCATTAATGACATTCAGAACTTGACATGTAAAAGTTAAGAGGTAAATCATAAATGTGTTTCTTGATGCTGGGAATCTGATTTTCTTCATTCTTGCTGTACTTTCTCAGCTTTCTCACTGTTGCCCAGGCCATTCAAGGTATGGGAAAATTCTGCCCATGGTTTATGCCACTTTCCTCATTGAACATCGAGCAAAATAATTGTGTAGCAGGGCTAAACAATGAAAAAAATTTCCAAGTTAGATTTTTGGCTTGTAATATCATTTTGATTTATAGACTATTTCAGCCACACCCCTTCCCCAAAAGGGAAAACAACCCATGGTTCCTGCTTCTACAGTTACCATCCTGTGATGCCTCTTGGGCAGCACTCTGTGTGGACATTGGCTAAAGATTGGAGCATATATGAATGCCAATTCCTCCTATTTCCTCCATTTGCTTTCCTAAATTGAATGGGCTGGCAACATACAATTATCTCCAGTGGGAACATGGGCATTCACCCAGACGAGGAAAGAGTGGAACCATGCCCCATCAGTGTCCCCTGGAAAGCAAGGAATGTATCAGGACACAAAGAATAAATGTCACAATTAAATTCTTCCATCTTTTACCAGATAGGTTTCATCAATTTGTTTTAATGTTGTTCTAATTGAGTTATAAAAACCTCTCAATTGTGCTTGAATTCTCAGGCCAGTACTCTCATTTGTAGATTTCTGAATTTCTTTAAAAGGTGTAGAAAAGTTAACAATCACAGAAATGACATGACAAATCAGCATTAACAGAAATTCACCTTTCAGTGTTTGAAAAGTTCATATTTGATGATAAGAAAAGTCTCGGAATTGGGTTGCTTTCTCAAATAATTTCAATAAAATAATTTATGGAATTGATAATTTACGGAATTTGACAATTTCCTCCTTCAAGAAAAGATACTCCAATACCATTATACACTCCAATAAGCAGTAATACATAGGATAAAACAAACTTGTTACAGCCAGGGTAGTGGGAAA